AGTTCAAATCTGGATTATATACGAGGTAATGTCGATTAGGTTTTTAGATTAAAACAGAATTGAGGACTGAATGTGTATAAATTCAAAATTAATTGAAGCCGAACACGTCACATTGCCTGAAAAACAGTCTGAGATCTAAGATTTCAGGAAATTTATAGTTCAAACTAGGCGTAAATTTCCGGAGTAATACTGTTTTGCAATCAAACTCGAACGCTAGAAATTAGTCAGGCAGTGGTAGGAAGAAAAGGTTTTACAGAATAGTCCATGGTTTAAAACAGATTGAAATGTTAAATGGAGAAACAATTTAAAGCATTCGACCCAGATAACTGTTCAGTCCTTGCTTACGTTGCTAGTCAACGTATATTTACGTTATTTACACGTCATATTTGCTCGAGCTTGATGTTTGAACAAGTTTATTTCTCTGAAACATGTAAATGCTACTAAAGCTTGCTAATGAACCATCAAAGCTAGTAAGTAATACAGATGACCAGTTTTTAGTATCGATTGAGCGGCCTGCTTGAGCATCCGGGCTACCTGTTCCTGCCATCTAGATATTTCAACAAGTTATAGATTTTTGTTTGTTTTAATATATCAATATGTTTATTAATCGCATGATGTATTCTGCTGCGTTCCTGAAAAGTGTACAACCTTTCGTTGTCAAAGTTACAAAAAACTCAATAAGAGACAATGTGGTTGCTGGCAATATACAGAGAAAAGAATGCACATTATTCGGATGTTCATTTACTGAACTGCTAACATCTAACTGGTGATCACTCAATATTTATCGCCAGGACCGACCAAGAAGAAAGAAACGGAAACTTGTTGAAATACTTTACGCTGAGAATTCTATTATCTACTAAAAATATAATATTGAATTAAGCTGATGATAATAATAAGTTATGAATACTAATCAATGTAACATTACGACAATACATGTGATCATAAATCAGAGGACTACTGGAATAATGGGTTTGCATAAATAAAAATCGATCAAGAAAGTTAAAGTGGAAATAAGGATTGATGAAATTCTACTTAAATAGGTTGCGTTTCTTTAGTCGGGCTTACCAATGTAGAATTGTGGTCTACCATGATATTAGTACTGCTGTAATAATAGACCTAATGCTAAAATTGTACATTTATCATGATATGACTGCCTAATCTATAAGATATTATGTGGAAGTCGCATTATTATCTACACTACCTCATCGCATCGTAACGATCATCAATAAATGTGAGGAACACACTGAGGCTGGAGATTAATTAAATTCCTTGTTCCCGCCTTCCCAATTGTCTCGTGTTCAGTCTTGAGGATTGTGTGTTTGAGGCCCAATGCCACTACAAACATGTCAGCTTTGTTGTTTCAAGCTTTATGAACGAAGTTTACATCTGGCAAAACGTTCCCAAAGATATACTGTTGACCAAAATTAAGGATAAATGCATCATAGAAAATACATACACCATAAGGAGAGGTGACTTAATTGTTAAATTAAACAGCTCGATAGGCCTGGCTCGTTGACGCTGTTAGTGTTAATTTAAACAGACACAACACGTTAAGGGTTTCCGGGCCATACTCACCGCAAGGTTACAAAGATACTTTGACCTCTTCTCCCCTTTTAGAAGGTCATTTTATAAATCTGATGTTTCTCCATCTATAAATTAAATAAAATAAACATTCCTACCTGTCCATCGGTTCGTTTACAATAAATTTTTATATTGTTTATTGATTATATCTGCTCCTTTACTTTTTGCCGTTAGGGTAACCATGGTAGAGCACTCTGCCGGCAGTGCTGATTGAACACCATCGTGACAATGTTACATGATAATCCACGTAAACAGTTCGTGTTTATCGAAAGCCGTTGACTAAGCCAACTCATGTTCGTCTGCCTCTAACTTTTCAAACAAACGTTTTTTCTCAACTCTTATGGTTTGCTTTTGTTCTTGTATTCCGAGACATATGATTGAAAAATGTTACACTATTTCGTAGTATGAGGAGCTTCTTTAAGTGTGTTAATGCTTTGACCTCAGCTCCAAACCTCAATGAGCTGAAACGGCAGATTGGATGTCACTTGGGACTATTTAAGGTCTCAGAAATGGTCATTAACTTTGACGTATTATAAATCCATAACACTGATAAACAGAAATAAACTATAAATTAATTGGTAATATTGGTCATTGACGTAAAGATTGTGTCCCCTTTGAGATATTAGTTCAAAGGTAGATTTCAAAACCTGTTTTATAGAGGCCAGACGTTTTTAGCACCACTCCCCACCAAAACTTCACTACCATCCCAAGCAACACAAAAAGGGGATATAAAGGGGAAGAAATGGGAAATAAAGCGGTCGAAAGGGGAAATAAAGGGGAAATGTCGCTTTTTCGCCTTTACGTCGGTTATTTAGGGGAAATGTCACTTTTTCCCCCTTACGTCGTGTATTAGGGGGAAATTTGTCGACAATTCTACGTAACGTACAGTGTTTGAATGAACCGCATGCGGAACGGAATTTTTCATAAACTTCGACAAATTAAGGCACTGCTTAATAAGGAAACAAAAGTATTGTCATAGAAACAATGTACAAAATACGGGGCCAGGCATTCGGTTGATACGCATATAGAGTGACTTCGTTTGTTGTTTAGCTGAAGCGTTCCGACATGCTTGGGAGCCATCACAAAAAACTTACGTGATGCAGGTGAGGGACGTGCTCTCTGGATTTTAGGTTCATTGTGACTGATTGCCTCCTTAGGCCAATAATATGACTTTTAATGATGTCAGTGAGAATGTTCGTGGACGTAGGGCCACTGTGAACTTGTCACGTTCCCTTGGTTGTCACAGAACCACTTATAATCGGAGGTGGAATAAAATGAGAGCTGCTTTAATGAAAAAATATCACTTTCTTTCGTTCAGTGATTTTGCTAATGATAGGCTTCAAATTAGTGGTTTAACAAATACTACCGCAATAGGCCCTAATGATGTCTCCACTAAACAAGTAATTATGTTTAACAACAGTAAAATAACTTCATGTCAGCCTGATAATGTAGTAGTAGTGAACGGCCAGCCAGGTTTAGTCACTGATATAAAGGATGATGGACTACTAAAATTTAGGACTTTCACTGACCCACGCAATTACTTTGAAGATCCTTTCCCATCTAGTGATATTGGAATCTTTATGTGCTCCGTAGTTAGCCACGAATACACCTGGGTATCGGTTCAGGACATTGATTGTAAATGTATAGCCATAAATTGTATCAATTATATAGTTGTAATCCCATTGTTGCATACTTTATTGTAAATGCATTTTGTTTCATTAGTGTTTAAGTAATGATGATAAATCATTTACTTACGTCTTATGTTCTTTTCAGCCCACTAACAAGAAATACGTTATTGTTGACGTCCTAAAGAAAAAACAACTTATGATAGCATCAAAGGACTGGATAGTTGGCAATGACCTTTGCCTTCTTCCGAACGAGCTGGTCGAAATACACCTGCAGAAGTGCGACCAACCGAATGAAAATTGGTCGCTTATGAAATGTAAAGTGATTCACGAATTAGGTAGGCTACATACACAGAAAGTATAATTCACTATAGATTCTCTGCAGTCGGCAAAAGACCTGTTAGTTGCCCTACAGGTACTGGAATGTCAACGGAAAAACACCTCTACGGATGAAAACACTTTGCCACTGAACACTGAGAAGCCAAAGAGGTCTGTACAATAATCTTACTTACATTTCCTAGAGGTTTAATGAAGCGTAAAGACATCGCGACACAAGGTTACTTTCACGACATCCGAGACAAGATGATTAAACGAAATAGAAGAAAAGAAAATCAGGTATGTACTAATTTAAAGTGATCACCTCCCTACGGCTCTATAGTTACAGTCAACAATACTAACGAACATAACCGTAAGTTCAGCTTCAAGTATTTGGCTGTGCAAAAGCATGTCATTGAGATATGGTTGTGACTTGTTTTGTTTGTTTTTTTTTATTTCAGAATTTACAGGAGGACTACCTCAATTCTGAATAGTCTGTGCAATTTTTTTGTTGTTCTAGCTCGATTTCAATAAACATTCTTTCAAACAGCTTACTCTTTTACTTACATGGGAAACTGTTGAAGTGTTGAGAATGTGTGTCTGAGTTTCAGTGAACTTTTGATTAAATGCACATTCCTTATGAATAAAATATAACCTGTTCCTTGTTTTTCAGATAATTACAAATAACAATGAATTAGCAATTGCATTGGATATGCATAGCAATCGATGCTTAAGCTTATGCTCTACTGTTGTACAATAATACGCTTTTCTTTTTAAATAAAATTTTTAAAATATTTACTGCTTTTCCACTGTATTGCAGATATATTTTGGTCTGTTGTTGCAAATAAAGGCGAACATAGGAGACCTTTGGGGTTCTGTCGATGGATAGAAAACAGGAGGTGATGTGTGTATTTAGGCGAAAAGTAGACAATTAAGCGCATAAGTAGGCAATTCGGCGGATATTTAGGCGAAAATGCGACGATTTGGGGGATATTTAGGCGAAAATGCGACAATTCGGCGGATATTTAGGCGATAAGCCGGTAATTTGTCGACAAAAAGGCGAAAAAGGGGAAAATCCGCATTGTTTCCCCCGGACAGGCGAAAAAGGCGACATTCTGATGCGTTTTCCTTTTTATTTCCCCTTTCGCTACCGAAGCATTTACCCCTTTATTTCCCCTTTCTTCGCCTTTATTTCCCCTTTTTGTGTTGCTTGGGATCCGCAAAGTCATGTAATGGTTTCTGCTATGTGATAATGTTGACCAGTTTCAAATAGCAAGTGCTTGCAGTTTGATTAGTTCAGGCTTGTATTAAGACCAAAATCATTTATTGGAAGCTCATTTCAACAGTGAATAAACAGATTTATAACGTTAATTGAAAATTTATGCGGAGGTAGAATAAACCAGTAACAGTCGAACAATAAACTGATTTTACAGTTCGAAATAAGACGTAAACACCAGATAAGAGGATAACTTTTGAAGAATGGGCGATTTTGTTTTCGTTGCTTTTGTACTTCTAACTGCCTATACTTGTCAAGGCGATCTAGCGCGCAATTTTCAATTCGGGAGCTTATTTGAAATATGTGGAGATAAGTTTCGGTACGTTGCACTTAATTAGTTTAATATACAGAGTCTTTGTTTTTCTTACAAATACAAGACCCTAGGTTTACCATCTACTATTGAAACATGTCCATATTGCTTAATTGCGTTTTCATTATAGATTGTGTTAAGTCATTAGTTAGACAAAATGTAAATCAATGGTTTGACAAAAATCGGTCGAATTGTCGTACATTTAAGATTCGCGACCGCATAGTGGTGTTTGTCTTTATGTAGCCCCGATAGTGACGCAGATCTCGTGCTTAAGGTCAACTGCATCCTGTGTACTAGATCGCGCAAGAAGCTGCATCAATTATGTGCATCTTAATTCGCATCATTCGTTTCGTTTAAGAATTGCACATTTTTTCTGGTTCGAAAATAAGTTGTGGAATAAAGCAGTCTTATAGGTGGACTTTTTAACTATTATTCGCGTATGAAGAGTTCTGGAGATTCATGTCGATATTTCTATTTGTAACAAGTCTGTTACATCTCTGATTATCCTGAGTAGCTTTGCTGTCATTTTTAGTTTCTTTTATCAATGTCGGTCTTCAGTGATATTTTTTGACATCTACATCTTTAATCGTTAGTTGTGTAAGGTATTTCGATTAAGCAACACGATAATTGCTTATCAAATATGTGGGTAGATTAAATTATTTCTAAAAATCCTAGCTAAAAGAATAGGGTTATTTGACCAAATACTGTATGTAACTGCGAGAAAGTCACCTGACCTTTTTATTAGTGTATAAATACATTTCCCCCGCTTTTTAGCGAGTTAGTTTTCTGCTTGCGTAAATAAGTAGGTAAGTGTAAATAAATTTAACTCAGACTCTAAATAATTTATTCTTATCGGTATATCATACTTTTTCGTAGATGAGTTGTAAGGCAATTTTTTGCTGAATGAAACCTTTGTAATGTATAGGATTGTTGTATAAATTCCAGCCTCACACGGACTTGCTTTCGACAGAAATTTTAATTTTGGTTATCGATAAAGTGCACAAAATATGATTGTATCAATGACCTACTCTAACAGAATTAAATAATCAACTATTTGTCAGTTCATATTTCAATAGCGTTACTCACTAAACTTAATTCATAGTTGCTTATTTTGCATTGAATAAATAGACTTTGTAATAACATTACTCGATTCTATATATAAAGGTCGTTTAGGCAAAGTGTGTATCTTCAAGTTTTTATTTTCAATAATAGATCAATAACCTAGTCAACTTGAAATGGTGATTGCTTTCAGTTCATGATACTTTACGTCATAGGTTACTGAGTCTAATGTCTTACTAACTGATTGACTAGTGTTTCTTCAAGAGCTTCGAACACAACCGTTAGTAATATAGTTTGACGCAGTCTATGTGACCCAATTTAATGTTATCATTAAAGTCTTTTGGTTCCAATGAAATATAAATGGTCTATTTTGAATTATTCTCCTATCCTCAAGTAAAGTGTTTCGTGTTTTTAGGGATATACTACGTCATCTAATGCTACAGGAACCCATTCTCCATCTTAGTTCGGAAAAAGAAAACCTTAATTCAGCGTTCCTTCCTAGTATATCTCACTCCAAAAAAAGAATTGATAAGTCTAACATTGAAGATATCAGGGGCATTTGTAGATTTCCACAGGAAAAAAAAATGCCGGCTCTTTCTACTACACCTCGCACTCAGGGTCATTGCAGGTCCGGATCAACTAATACTGATTCTCTATTTGTCCGTCCAAATTCCCAAGTATCATCTAAACTGCGAGCAGCTGGCGAGCCCACATTAAAAAAGTCGTCTAGCTACCAAAATATTAAAATTGCCAATAATGGAAAAGGACAGGCAATGCATTTGTCAAATCTCCAGGTTACTCAGCCAGGTAAACGAAAAAATCTCAACAGTAAACAAAAGCACCATAGTAGTGCCGCTAACATTCCCACCGTTTGTTCTAAAAACACTGAGCTAACTTCATCGGAACCTCACTTTCAAACTCACCTTAACAATCATTCTAACGCTCACCGCATATCTGTGAACAGCGACCTACTTTCACGTGTGGAAAGGGAGAAAAAGCAATATGAAGCTCGGATATCGGAATTAACACAAGTCACAGAAACACGCAAGATGGAAATAGAAAAGTTAACATTCGAAGTTCGTCGTGCTAAAGAAGAGGCGTCAAAAGCTATTTTATTGACTGAGGAAACTAAACTTGAAAACATCCAGCTCCGAAATCAGTTGCTAGCTCTCGGAAGTCCATGCAAAAAAGATGGAGATCAAGGTTCCTGCGTAGAATCCCATCAAAACACAAAATTGAATTCCACAACTCCTAGTTCACGTAAGTTATTTGCCTGCACTTCGTCTCCTCCTGAATCACTTGGCACAACAACACGTCTTACTCCAGGTGGAGCCACCACCATATTTACTGGAGGTGTTACAGCTAGTTCATTATCAAGTGAATGGAATGAAATGGCACCAGGGTATGATTTATGTCCTACTGAAGAGCCTACTGTATATGATACTAACTATTCAAGTGATTTGGAAAATATTAGTAGTAGAAATCTGAAAGAAAACCCAGTCGTTAGTATCGCTACTCTCCAAGGACGTTTACTACAAATGGAAGAGGCGAACTATACAACCAACGAAGAACTCCAGGCCACATTGCAAGAACTATGGGATCTACAGCGCAGTGTTGATGAGGCTCATGAAGAGGCCCATAGTCTTGCCTTTGAGCGCGCGATTTTATTGGAAGCTCTCTCAACCCAGACTTCAAAACTTGAACACTGTCGATTTCAAATTGAACAGTTGAAACACTTGTTGCTCACAGATCGTAGTGCCCAAACTCCTGGTTCACGAGAGAATCACTTTTGTGAGTTATATGCTTCCATCGAACAAGAGAAACAAGTTCTACTAGGTCAAAATAATGACTTGGCCCAAAGTTCAGAAAGTCTTGCTCGTGAATGCCGTATTTTGACAGAAAAAGCGTCAGCTTTGCAAGACAGTTATGATGCTTTAGAAACGAAGCATTCTTCTTTGGAAAAAGCATACCAATCTGTTTCTTCAGAATTAACTTCGCTTAAAAGTCAAATTTCCCTAGATTGTTGTAAAAGTTCACTAAATAAACAGGATGATATATCAGATCACTCGAAAAGAGCTAGCATTGCTGTTCAAACTGATTGTGTTTTTCTTATTGATTCACTTGAAAACCCACTCTCTGTATCCATTAATGAAGATAGAAAGAAATTGAATGAAATCACTGTTGAGTTGCATAAAATCAAAGAAAATTATGAAATTCTACTTTGTGAACGTGAGCGTGAACAAACTGAATGGCGGTTATATGAGCGAGATTTATTAAAAGCTGTTCAAGTCGCTGATGAAATCAAAACGGAATCCGAACTGGAATCTCGCCGCCTAAGCTCAGAGAATGCATCCCTCAAAGAGCAAGTAAGTTATGTGAAAGAATAAGAAGTAAAATTGTTTCGGTTAATTTCAGCAATTATATTCATATTTGTATATTAAGCTTACAGGCTTACGAAACGAATCCGACTATTGAAACCATAGTGTATTAATTAGGATTGAGGACTATAATTCTGAAATTAATGTACTAATCTTATTCTTCTAAACAAGATCATTTTATTAAATTATCAACTATTGAGTGAAAAAAAACTTGAGATGTTTTTTTTCATTATGATATTTAAATAAGATAGACAAACGATCTAAGATATAGCTATCATTCCTACTATCACGCACGCACAAACAAGGCACTCCTAAAACCTCAAGAGAGTTCTCAGTTCTTCTAAAGAACCTCTACTACTCCGCGATTAGCCATAAAAATTTCATCTTGCTGCGCGAATGGGGTATGGCAAATTGAATCGTTACGTTTGACTGACTGGCACAATATGAAGTAATTCACTCTCAGCTATATTAGCCTAGCGGTAAAATGAAACTAGGAAAAAAAGCAACTGAATGGATGTTGTTTGAAAACAAATTGACATATGAACGAGAGATATTCTTTTCAATAAATTCTCTTTAGATTCTACAATTATATGTTTAAATTAACAATTTAAAAAGTGGACAGTTTTAGGGCAAAATGCATCGTTTACAGTCATGGCATGTGAATTTAGGACTGTTCGTAAATTAAAGTAAAATTGTTAGTGTTGAAATAATCAATATGTGAATGACAATAGCGATTAGATAGGATTAATTTCAGGTTGTGGAAATGCTAAGTGGGAAAGGTTACACGGGAATCAGTCAAATTAGTTCATTCGGTCACTAAAATTATCATAGATTTAATGACCTTAACGTTAGACAAGGTAGAAAAATAAGTTGGGCATGCTTCTTTGGCACATAAACTTCTGTCTTTTATTCCAAATGGCTATTGTTTCTGCCGTTTGTTGGACTTTAAGTCTTATCAACTTTAGGAAGAACTACTAACCTGATAAATCATTGAAAATGGTTGATTTATGTTGTTACAATAACCACTTTGGACTAAGTAGGTTGATATTGAACCTGTGGAAGATTAATTGAAAAGAATATTCTTTGTTCATGAATCACTGTTTACGGCACTGTTAACTCTGTAACTTGAATAATTCCGGTATCATAATATGATTTGTATTGGGTGTCTTTCTGTTTGATAGGTAAAACTATTTTCATAAATTAAAATTTGATACAAAAATGTACCGTAGATTATGAAAGATGTTCAAGAATAATAGTGATAATCATGTACTCTTAGTTGTTTTTTTATGTATGCTGTTAATTATTCATGAGTTGATAAGTAATTACTTGTGAGAATATTTTGTTTTATCTATATTACAAATATTCTCCTTTTAAACTGTCATTTGTGTATGTGTGTATTAGGGGGGGGGCTGTATCCATGACCCAGTATTAAGAAGTGTCAGTTAATGACACTTGATAATACTCATGTTGATAAATAAATAAGCGAATACAATGGAAGTTTTACTCTTAAAATTCTCCTTTTTTCTCTTTTCTGTCTTAAAAATAAAAGTAAATTTTCGTTAAGAATGTAATAGAAATACTTATAAGTATGTGTGAATATATGCTGTATGTATCAAATAGTTTGTTAATCATTATTGTTCACTACACTGATTGATTTGCGTAATGCGAGTGCCTGTGTTTTTAATTAACGTAACAGATAGAATTATTATTTAATATGCTTGAATAACAATGAAATAATAATAGGTAGGAAAAGCAGCCTTTTATTATGTAACTTCAGCATGGCTTCACTTCAAGGCAGTATACATAAAAGTAGTATGAGTATAAGAACGATTTTTAGAGTTTCTGTCGCCATCGGTTGGACAATAACGACTTCCCCTAAATATCCTGGTATGGCAGAAGGTGGGGAGGCCGCTCTTCCGAAATCCATTTATACGACCAAGCGTTTACAGCCTCTGTAAGGGAGGTTATTCTCACTTCCTTCACGCTGCGAGTATGTTTCTTACAATGGTAGGAGGATGAAAAACCAAACCATGTTGAGAATATGGATGATCCATACAGTGAAATAAAAAAATCACTTCTAAACCAGTAGTGTACATAAGCTCCAGGGTCCTAGAGAGTGATTGGCGTGTGAACCTATTTTTTGTTACTGGTTACTATAGGATGGCAGCTCCTTACATTTCTCCACTTTTTTGTGGATTAGACGTTTGGAGTAATTATTGTGGAGATGGCCTCCTGCTGAAACCACATTCGTCTTGGGCATCTAAACAGTATTCCAGTTCACAAAAACTTGATTTTGTTCCGCAGTTGTACCGGATTTTATGTGAACTGAATAATAGTTAAGGCTCCAAGAAGATGTAACCTTTTGCTCATTGGTCCAGCGCACTACTGACATACTTATTGAGTTGCATCATTCAGCTGCTAATTAGATTTACATCCAATCACAGCACGTTGTGTTTGATCAAACGATATTCACGTAGGTTTCTTAACTCTATTGATATTGTATTGAGCTATTAAGGCGGAGGTCAAACATCCAAGTCCCACTACGACTAATGTATTTCTTCATAGTATCAACTTTTATTTCCGTAAATATTATTTAATGTGTCAGTAAATTCATAGTAATGACGTTTTGTAGGTATCAATGCTGAGATTGGACTTGAAGGTTTCAAATCGACCATAGGTAGAAAGTTAATAATAAATGTGTTTTTTTTTAATATCCCAACCAGTAGAAAATAGTGTTTTTGATGCCTCGTGACTTAATGGAAGTCACTTCTTCGAAGTAAACAAATAACCGAAATAAAATAATACAAGTTTAAGTAGTATGAAGGAAACCATGTAGAATATTTTCCTTCGTACCATTTAAACTAAAAGCATTTACTTGATTATTAAGAATAAAACAAAATTAAATTGAGATGGTGAAGATTTGTAGCTCAGGTGGATGATTTTGGTGGAGTTTTGTTCTCTGAGTTGCATTTAGAAAAAATACTATTTTTGTAATATTATGGTTTTCCAAGTTAAAAGCATTCAGTCTCTTAGGAGTGTTAAATACAAATACAATTTGTTACTGAGAAATTAAGTGTAAAATCATGTGTTAATCAATTGTGATTTTCATCCAGCATAATATTCGTTTTTATTCAATGTAGCTTTCACTTGAGATGATAATTCCCTGAACTAGTAATTACTGCGAGTAAATCTGTATTATAAATGAGTGATTCCGAATGGTTGATGACGCTTTTTAATCCATATCAATAAATCTTTCTTTCCGAGTAGTGGGAGTTAGAAACGAGAAGTTAGTGTGGGTTACCCTGGCATTGAAGCGTAGTTAGGAGTTATTTTTAAGATATCAAGACTCTTCACATTTTGGGACCCTGAAGTATTTGTCACTTGAACATAATCGGTCAACTACTATCCTTACCTTGTAAGAATAGGAAGATGGTAATTAGTTGTCTTTGACCTTACTTATCTTTTATAAACCTCTAAAATGGTTGATAATCCTCGAATAACGTCTTTTATGAAATTACCAGGTGATAATCAGTTACTATCTTATCAACTAGAAGTGCACAGCGTCACTATACATTAGCTGCTTCTAATAATTTCCTCTCACTCCACCTTCTACATCTATTCTGTTTTATTGATAGAAATTACGGAAATCGTTAACCTTTTTCACAACTATTATATTGATTTTATGCTAAATTTTTTCAGACTAACCACATGGTGATTCATATAATCCTGTTTACATGGATTATTTTAGTTAGGATAAATCGTTTGTGTGTGTGCTTCTAATACAGAGTGCATGTGTATAAATAACTATGCCGCCTAAAAGGTCTTATTAAGAAAAAAAGGTGAATATTGTGCAATATTTTCGTTGAAAGTTAAACTTACCTTGTATTGCGATAGTAATCAGCAGAGGAAAAGTAAGAAGAAAATATCTATTGTTTTCATCAGATTCTGTGTATATTGAATGACGTTTAATGGGTGCTCTTTTTAATTTAATATATTGCTTTTATTGAGAAACGAGTTTATTTCTATGCAAAATAGAACTAGTAAATTTCTTCCTATGTTTACCTGTTTTATAAATATAGTCGTGACTGTAATGCTAAATAAAAATGGTTTAGGTTTCCGATTGTACACGAATTTCCCCTGTGGTAGATGATTAGGAATATTTAAACTGATTAACTAGAACAGTCGTGTAATGGTTTAAATAATTGACTACATCTGGGTTTTAGGTTCGAAATCCCCGGTCAATTTACTTTGATTTAGTCAGTCAGTTGGTAGCATTATTCCTCAGATAAAAAATATGGTTGGAAGCAGAATACCTTAATGCATACTTGATTAGTCGTTTAACTGAACTAAACTAATCCACCAAACAACTAACTGTTATCGAAGCTTAGTTAAATTGGATACTTTCAAGTTATTTAAGTATTTATTAGAATGATTGTTAACACTTATAATTATGATTCAAAGTCTTATGATACTTTATTACTTCGTTAAATAAAAGACCTTAATTAGTTAGAAAGAGTAAACTGGTTCATTTATTGCCGCATAACTAAATAATTACTTATTTAAAAGCATGAATATTGGTACAAATGGGTCACACAACAACAAAAAAAACAAAGCTGAGAGAAAATATGGAAGGGAGGGATTCTTTCAATTAAAAAGTTCCTCTCACTTTTATGAAGAATTTAAAACAAAGCTATAACAAAACCACCATTGTCTGTTTTTAACCATGTTTGATGACGTCAAATTTCACTGAGTTCCACTAACTGTAGGACCTCATCCAAGGAGTTGTTATAGATCGAGAGATATCACTCTCAAAAAAGCTTTCCATCATACCTCACCATCATGACACAAACTGACTACCTCGCCACTTTATACATCCAATTCCACTTTCAACAAATAATGCACTATGTGAAGACCTCTGGGACGACATTTGCGACCCATGATAAAGCCACTGGAGCTGATGGCACTGACTAAGTTATCATCAGTGCAACCAAACACGCATTGATAATATGGTCTTGCCACTGAATCTCAATAATCATTTGGCGACGACGATGATCGAACACAAAGAGTTACCGAACATCCTCAACTTGGAAAGACCAGCTTTTACAAGTATAGAGCAAATCGCTCTCGCTGATGCGCTGTAAACCCTACCTTTCCCAATCAGATTGATATTACAACAGCTCCAAAGATAGTCCGAATTGTCATAGACCACTGTGGCTTTCATCATACGTGGATTGATCTAATCTGTTACGCTACCACAAACACTCCAGCTAATACTTAGATACACGAACTTTGAGACTGTTAACGGCTCACTACAAATAGTGGGTGCCCTCACAGTTTCTTGTTGGTGTTGCCACTCAGTTTCTGGTTCATTTAGTAGACATACATCCTCTGCTTGTTTAAATTTATTCCTCTGGTTTATTTTTGAAATAAAGTTGTAGTCTAAAAAATATGCTATCGTTTACGCTCAATTTGGAAAATAAATAATTTACAAATTGACATTTCCCAATAGTTAAACGAATATGCAATCACATAACTATTTCCTCCATAAAATATTTGTCCTAAATAACAACACTAAGGTAATAATTTGCAGCATATTTTACATGTTATAAACGGATGAACTTTAACACTAAACGCCAAGCAACAAGTTTCGCTCGTTTCACACCAGAGTCATCCTCAGTTCGACTAAACAAAACTAAAATTGTTTGAAAACCTTAAATTCGACTAGTTGGATTGAATGTATATTTAAAAATCCCTGAACTTTTGAAAATGCATTCATTATAGATAATTTCATGCGTTATTCTATCGAAGCTATTTAGCATATAATTAATGACTTTGTTCTTTTCAACGAAGTCTTAATGCCGTATTTTTTAAAAATTTATTTACAGGTTGAAAAATTAACTAAAGATTCTACTCGTTTGAATTCTGAAATTACAATATTAAAAGATAAAATCAACTTATCATCATCTAGAAAAATTGGAAATGGACATCTAAACTTTCCTTCTGGTTTTCATCTACCGTCAGATGGAACGGATAAACCAAATCCAACCCTACCTCAGTCTCATCTACTTCATCTTCATCAAACCAACCAATTCTATCAAATATCATTCAGAATATTTGTCCAAGTAGTTCCGCTTATCTTACAACAAATACAACAACTAACTCATGTCGTTTAGCACCCGGCACACTGACAGACAATAGCTACACTGGACGTAATAGTATAATGCATCCTTTTACTGCACATCGTTCCACTGGATTCAATCATACAAACCATTTACATTCTACGTATCCAGGTTCACCTGGAGCACCAGGTCGACCTAGTGCTCTATCAACTGGGCCAACTGTACGCAGTTTAATTCAAAGTATTGAAAATCAGGTATTTGTTGTTTCTATTTATGCTTATTTGTCTATTTATCCACATATATGTACGCGTAGGGATGTGCACTTGCGAATTGTGTTCTTATTACTATGTATGAGCAAAGAACAATTACTTTTTACTTGTTTAGCTTATCAGTTTATTTATATAAATAATATGATTAATTCTCTCGTTGACTTTTACTCGAAGTGTAACAACCTATGAAATGTACTTCCTTGTGTCATATGTGCATACTTAACATTGTTAGTTCATGACCTTTGTTTTTTTTCGTATTCAATTTCATACTTCAAAGTATTGATGAGATTGAAATACATTAATTAAATACCGCTTTCTAATGAAACCTCTACGTGTATACTAAAGATTTATCTGACTTTTGCCAACTTCAGTCAGTCAGTCAGTAACAACGTAGAACTTCGTACGTACGTACATCAGTTCGAGTTGTCACACCACATTAGCACAGAGATGTAGTGGTCGATTCAAATCCCGTAGTGCTAGATGTAGTAAAATTGTAAGCTGTAATCAGAAAAATTAGGGTTTGAAGATGTTATTCAAGGAGTATAGTTCAGTGAAATAAATTTGGAAAGAGAAAAAAGAAAGGGACATGAAGAATTCAGAAGCTGCTACCTTGACGCGGTGGTCGGGCTTGTCTATCGTGATGACCCAACCGAGCTATATTGGCTGAAACATATGTTCCTGTAGTGATGCTGCCTTCCCACAAGGAGGGGTGGGGTTAGAAAAGGTGGACCCTAAAAATGTCACACCTCACCTTACCTCACGGATTTCCGTCTCCGGCGGTAAGGCCCTTTGAAGAACGGAGCTAGCACATTAAAAACCTTCCACGAAAAGGCCGTGCGCGACAGGCCTCAAGCAGTTGTCCCTTGGGCTCTGCGGTCATGCTCCCAGGTCGTTAAGACCAACACTAATCCAACTTCCTTTTCAGGTTCCTCAAGAAATACCCTTCCACGGTGTGGGCAGCCGGGAAGCGATATCAGATCCCATACCCGTAACAGCACACGAGACCAAGTTGGTCACATTCAAATCCTTCCTACACCTAATACCTCTCTTATCTCCATGACTAACCCTCCTCACGTCTCTTTTGCCAACTTACATCTCCCGTGCTCCAAGAGTAATATGAAAACTAAGTAAATTAATAAATACTCCATTTTATCATTACTTTGCTGGTGTGAAGCATTATATTTGAAGGCAAAAGAAATGTGTAATTCGCTAGTACGAGTTTAAATAAATTGTATTTGTCTTAAAACTGTTACTTTCGTACGATTGAATCACTTAATAAATAGTACTGTTGTCAAAGGTAGGCTATTAGATACATCTTGTAAATTATCTTACATTTTGCTCATTATTCTACTGTGATAGTTTTGACATCCGGTATACATCGCCAACCGCTATCTATGTGTCTATGCCATGTTAACTAACATAAAATGATCCGATTGTTAAAAGGTTATTATGAGCCATACTAATATAAGATATCATCCTTGGAAGATGACAACCGTGAAGAGATGCATGATTACTGATTAATTTCTCTAAGTTAGTCATAATCATTTAATTTTTATAGACCATTCTGTCACGTACTTGCAAGAATTCCATTCTATTGGACTGGCTGATTACAAAAGTTTAGCTAGTATGTATTGACGTTTAGTTTCTTCACTTAATATAAAACACTTATTTTTACTTCTTTTTTAATTTAGGTCAAAGCGGTCCAACATCAGAAACGCAGTACAACATCTGCATCAGTCGGTAATTCACGTCCAGTTCGTTTATACACTAATACTAATAACAATGACAATAGTAATAACGGAAAAAATAATCGACAAAATATTTCATCATGTCTTAGTTTAATGTCACCAACTGGGTATCCTGGAAAGTCGACTACACCTATTAGTAATAATAATGGTAATGGAAACAATGATACTGGTAATTCCACTTCAACTCATCAACTGAATTCAAGGACAACTATCACTAATCCTGTCATTTCATCAGAAATTAATTATAAAGTGAAGAACCAGGAGAACAGAGATATGAACAGCCTGATTCATACATCAGCACCTGGTGGACCGAGTTCCACTATAATAAGTAATCAAAGTGTAACGAAGAAGTTTCCATCAGATAACATCACTACTACTAGTATTAATAATAATCAACGTAATGTTAAAACACCACTTGGTACATCAACTATCATGAATTCAACTGGAACATCGGTGTTTGGTAATTTAGATCAATTTACTAAAATAGATTCGAAAGATGTTTTACTCAGGTTAGTTTGTACCCTGTACTTACTTATCAATTCTCATGTTTCCCATTTGCTGAAATTTATCTGTCTGTATGGTTAGTAGTAGTAGCCTTTAAAGTAAAACTCAAATCTGAGTTTTACGTGTCTTTACATCAAGGAGTTCGTTTAATAGGTTTCAATCAACATTTAAAAATGAAGTCTAATATTCCTTTTAAACCTGTAAACAATTATCTGTGAACAATAAAGTTTACCACTTATTATTGATATTATTATTATTATTATTATTGTTTCGAGTGATTCAACAGTAACGTTCGAAACTAAAGGATTTGGTAGCGTAAATTCTCATCTCACAGAACTATGACACTATTCATGAATTCCTATCATCTCAAAGCTGATTCTGACTGGATGCCTTATTTATTTATGAAGCTAATTAATAATCCATATAAGACCTACATAGAAATAAAATTTCACAACTGTGTTATTTTCAAACGTGTTTTTGCATAACTCATATAATAATGTACCGAAGATAATAATTTTGCACTAGACATTTAAACGAGTTTTGCGTACCTGTGAATTGTTGGATTCATTTTCAATGAAAAGAACAGAGCAAACACTATTTACGTATCACATTTTGTAAGGTGGTGGTTATAAGTGGTTGACAGGTAATCCTGCAGCAAAGTGTACTTGTAATCTTGAGGAAACTGACGCTCCCTGTAGGAGGTTTTCAACTGTGGTATAGTATTGATCGGTTCATAATTTCGATTATACTTAACAATCTTCACACTGCCATATGTCTGTAACTCCTCATCTTCTCCATATGCGTGTATTGTGTTTGAAAAAATCATCTTTATGATTGTACTGGTCAAAGATTACGAAACTGCTCACAGATTTTAGATTAAGATCGAATCTCGAAGTATCAATCTTTGTCATGAGTAACCAGACCAGATTTGACCTGAATAATTAAAATTATTGGCTTGAACTGATCTATACAGACTCCAGGTAACAGCTTAAAATTAATCATAGTAAAAGTGTATGTGTTTAATGCAAACATTATTTTTTACATTTTAATCGTCCTTTCACAACAATGTTCTCTGTGTCTAATGTCTGTCACCATTAACATCAATATAGTTTACGTCTTGTTAATTTCCCATGGTTATATTTATATGAATTGTGCTATATATGCCGGCTCAGTGGTCTAGAGGTCAGGTGTTTTAGTGCGATGTTGAAGGTTGTGGGTTTGATTCCTGCGTGCAAGTTTGGGTATGTTCACTTCTGGTGAGTCCCATACTAAAACAAAACGGCTGTTCAGTGTTTCCAGTTTTTTGCTGGCGGTTTAAGATCAAATCGTAATTTCAATGGTGAAAATATGTATTATACTTGAAAAGTATAAAATTGCATCCATCTTGTTAAATTAAATTAACTTCCATTCATACACGTAGTTAGAAAAACTACAACTTCTAGTTCTAGTCAATCCGTTATTGATATTCTTGTATTGAAATTTTAAAGAGACGTCTCGTTAAAAATTACTTGCAACAGTTGTCATTCATCACCGATATATATATATATATATATATATATATATGATTATTTACATTTTGGAATCCCATTTTATTTTGTTTGTCTTTTCAAGACGAAATAATAGTGTTTGTGGATCAACTATAAAAACTGGATTGAACAGTAATAATCATAACAATAATAATTTGATAACAAGTAATGTAATTGAGAGTAGTAATTCAACGCCAAGTGTTGTACAAGTGTTCAAAGCAGACGATATTGTTACTAATCATCCTATCACTACCGGTGATGGATCATACGACAATAGCAAAACTGATTTAATTATAAAGCATAAAGAATCCCCATCAAGATCATTAGATTTAGTGAGTTTTCGACGTTTCACGTCAACAACTATACCAGATGGTAGTAGTAATGATAATAATAATAATGGGAAAAAACATACAAGTACTAGTAATGGTACAACTAGTGTTAATCCAAGTGAAAATAATCGTAATTCATTCATCCAGGAATCTGATATTTCAACAACCATTTCTACTGCTACTACTGCTGTTAATGACAATTTGTTATCGATTAATGCCACACAAGATCATCATTCGAATACAACAACTAATTTTCATAGTAGTATTCATCAAGTTTGGCAGGATCCATTACAAGAATTAGCTAGATTAACTGGAGCTGGTTCAAAACGTAATGCTTTATTACGTTGGTGTCAGTCACGTGTATTAGGTTATCGTGGTGTAGAAGTAACAAATTTCTCTAGTTCATGGAATAATGGTTTAGCATTTTGTGCTTTATTACATACATATGTTCCATCAAAAATTCCATGGAATGATTTAATTACATCTAATGGTTTACCTATTGATAAACGACGTTGTTTTGAAGTAAGTTTTTGTTGTATTATAGTTCTTTTTAGTATTATAGATTTATAATGAAGATTATCGTTGACAAATGATACTGACGAGTGTGTAAAATGATTGTGAGGTTATTTTTGAATGATGTAGGCTTTCTGTTTAGATTTTTCTGAATAATAGAAATAATTGTTAATCCATATCAAATTGTTTAATGATTAAAACAATTAAATTTCAACCAATCAGTTATCAGTTCATATTCTGCTTCATGTATTTCAATTTGAACTATCGGGTAATATTATTGACTCTTACACAAATATTATGACCCAGAGTCTAGTTCACAACCTAACCTCTTGTATACGTGATAAATAAATTACAAATACAATGACACATTCATTTGTTTACTTCGGTATGTTACTGTCATAATACTACATTAGCGAGTGACCTTTTCAAGCTTATTGACAAATAATAATCATATCGTCAGTCAATGAGTTACAATTTTTTTTTAATGTCACTTTTGGTGAATTACAAAAGCTCTATTTATCTAAACAGTTGATATTCTTCTTATATCTTAACTAATCGGAGAAACTTTCTGATGTTTTTACAAATTAGATTTATAACTTAGATTAATTTTTTGCAATTTAGTTTCGTTAAAATATAATTTACGCGGAATAAATAAACAAACAGCTGTTTAATGATGAATACATTTTTTGTTATGTCCCGATGAGTAGGAAAATTGTATTTCTGACGTTTCGTGACTTAATGCAAGCCACTTCTTCAAAGTAAATAAATTTAGTTCGGACCTTTAGGTCTTATGGCTTTTTTGAGGGCTGATCTCAAGCCATGACCAGTAGAGTTAAACCATATCCAGTGTAAAGTAGTTACCCACTAGTAACATTGCAATATGATTCCATAATATTTCGAATCGATTAAAGTTATAAGTTTAAACCATTGAATATTACCTCAGTGGTATAAGTATTAAGCACTCACGGTGAGACTTAAAGATCCTGAGTTTATATCTCAATGATGTCATAAATACTCTTAGCTGATACATTTCAAACTACGGAGCAATATCTAACTAAACTAATGCATACATATGATTAATTAGTAATCATAATGACAATTCTGTTCGTCATTTCCTAGTTTTTATTATCTTTTGTTCATGTCAAAAGTTAAAATATTAATTTATTGTCTGGTTTTTAATAGCAGTCCATTTTTTGTTTTCTTGAAATGTCATTCTTTCTTAATCCTTTTTTTGTACAGATTGCTTTTAAAGTTGCCGAAGATGAAGGTATTCCAACTACACTAAAATTACAAGATATGCTTACAACAGAACGACCTGATTGGAATTCTGTAATGACTTACATCATTTCAGTATATCGACATTATGAAGTAGAAGCGTTGAATCCATCAACAACTACTGGTAGTATTGATTGATGATGGAAGTAGCGGTATTGTCAATGTAGATTCCGGATAAGGGTCTAATGTTTTTACTTAAATTTCTTATCCTTTTTTTCGCTCTTTTCTCCAGTTGTGAATGTACAATACAATACATGCTTACATATACGTACATACATGCATACGTATATCTTGTGGACTTTTAATGTGGTAAAACTACGGATACGTTTTTTGCTATCTTTATTCTCTTTTTTTTAAAATAAAAATGAAAAAAAAACTACGAAAACAGTCTGTAATACGCACAGCTTATGTATATAAGTACAAATGACCTTGTCTTCCTTTTGTTCGTCTGTTTGAAGTGGTTTTCCATATAATCTGGGACAATATACACATTTATATCGCACAACCCAATCTTCTCCAGTGCATTCTATGCATATATATATATATATATGTAGATAAATATTTGAAAAAAAATAGTTCCTTGTTGGTTTTTATGTGTTCTTTATTCTACATTTTAATTTGGTTTTAACAATAAATATATTTTCCTATTCTAAAGAACACTTTTTTCTTCATAAAAATGACATTTTCACTGTTCATATGCTAAAATATAGCATGAATAACGGGTATGAAGTTATTTGATGAACACTGAACAGTTTCAGTAATGACTATGGTAGTTATCTGTAGTTTCACATGTATTCTAAGTGATTATATCAACTGAACTGAAGGTTAGTAAAATCCAGAAGAAAAACTTTAATTCATGGCAAGGAACTGTGTGGTTTGATCAATGATCTGCATAGTTTTCTTTCTAGGCAACTGTGTAATTTTTGGTTATCATTCGCTCAGTAATGCTTACACTTAGGTTGGCGATATCACCTAGTCTTTGTTTTCCTTAACACATGTGTTTGCTTTTCTTTTAGTTTTTACCTGTTTCTATACTTGTTTGCGTATTGTTGAATCCTCTTTGTACCGACGTGATTTATTTACCAAAATGTAGTTATCCCATCCTATATTTTGTGTATCGTCGGTGCAAAACTGAGAACTTTATTGTTGCGTTATTGTAGTACGGGTATGGTGTGTATGAATGCTGAGTCATCGCTTAGTGGCCCCATCGTCACTTAAGCGATGATACTCGATTAGCTCTAAGGACTTGACGAACATGGTATTGGTCACTACTTAGTGATTTATCAATATAAATATCTTACTCCTACATGAGGTAGGTCACGGCTCTCATAGCCTCAGCGGTAGCTTCTTAGATTGTTAAACTGGATGACCAGGGTTTGAATCCACTAAGGGTTACTAACTACCTTGAGATCACATGTACACCTTGCTAACAATTACCATATAACACGAAACCCCAAGTCCATTGTTTCCTGCTGACCACCTCCAAGCACCTAACAGTATGCATGTATCAAATTGTCCAACGTGATACTATCAACTTATAGATTATTTACATTCCACATTGTATATGTTAGAAGGATGGGCATTTATGTACTCATATCTATCTTTGTAAATTGAAAAATAATTGTCAATCAACCGTGGTAGTTTGTCACCAAATAATGTTTATATGACCATACAACCCCCCCCCATTTTAGCATTCATTTACAAAAAGTTGGTTCACACTCTTGCATAGTTCGTTTGAAGTGTAGAATCCCATGAGTTTATGAGATTTTAATACAGCTAAGTAAATTTGTGAAAGTTAATCAGCCCTGTCCATTCAAAAGCTTCTACTGACGTATACAACAGCCAATTTATAATGGATTGTTTTTGTCTATCTGATGGTGAAATTATCTTTTGTTTCAGGCTAGTCACATATTAGTGTTAATAACAATTCGTTTGTTACTTTAGTACAAAAAATGAATATTTGTTTAGTTATTAGAAGTGATCCTTTAAAAAATACGTTTTTACTTTACTTTATAGCTTTGAAAAATTGTCTTTAAATATTGGAAACATCCACATGTTACTAGCATTTAATCATAGATACTTTTGACGAATTGCTCGCAGATGCTGAAGCAACCAAATGAGAAGTCCTAAAGCTAGACATAGGGTTCTTGGTAAAATTGACAAATCTGAAAAGTAGCTTGGCAATTCTTGTATTTTCAACCATCATCTGTATTGTTATTCAATGCCAGCTCCCATAGGAGCTGATTAGAAGTAAGCTTAGGATGAAAAACTAAATCGTAGAACCAATCCATTAAGCTATTAACCGCTTATTTGAGCAGTGAAGAACTGCACCTAGTTTCTGGTTTGAGGGTGTGCAATATTTGTACTGGATGGTTAGGAAGTTGCGTTCATTCTATACCCTTAGTTCTTGATTGAATTTTCCTTTCTTATTTTTCGTTCCATCATCTCATCCACTCCTCTTCTACTGTACTTCTTATATTCGATATTACTTACTTCTTCTTTGCTTTTCGTTCTGTTTGGTTCCCTTTTTGTTGTACAGATGTCCGAGCTGGCGACTGATACTGATAAATATTTGTATCATAATTTATGTTGAGGATGACGGACTATTTTTTGGTCATTTATCTACTAGTTCTAACCAAACTAGATAAACAGAATGCTTCAAACGAAACATTCGAGAATATTTCACTGAATATCATTTGTACTGGTTATAAAACGTGAATACAATAAACCCATAAACATGTTTACAAGATCAGTTAAATCTTCGCGACAAAAAGTACTTTCATGACGTTCTAAACTTATTATTAATAATTTGAACATTTCTGTGTTTAGTGGTGGCTAGATTCAGGATGCATATCATGATGTTCCACCTTATATATCTTGAATTATAGAGTTCACAAAGTCCAAATTAAAGCATTAGATCCTTTATAAATTGACTAGAACAGATGTTGTGAACCACTGAACACTGATAATCAGTGGTTTGAAATTGTGCTCCCCATTAAATCTACGATCGATCGTGTCTAGAATCGTGCACGCACATTATTTAAGTCTCAAGGTTAGATGGGTTAGCTGTTCGTTACTCCCTATTTTTCAATAGTTCTATACCTTAGGCCACCTCATAGCAAATATTATCTGATATGACGGGATAAAAAGGCAACATTAGATTCATTTACTCAGTATGGATTTTGTTGAACACTACTTCAGTTTTAATTCAATAATGACTTAGTGTAGTATTTGTGTTTGTTTTTCAGTGGGATATTTTATTCGGTAATAACATTAAGTTGAGTGAGATGATTTATTCAAGATACGATATTCTTGTATTTAATTAACATGACACGCAGCATATGATTTGTTATAGTTCTGGGTACTTTTATATATGTGATTCAATCCTAATTAATAATCAAAATCGGTATACAAATCAATATATAAATGAGTGTATTTTCGACTAGGGTCGACGTCGTCGTGTTTTGGGGTTAATAAATCTTTACTTGTACCAATCTTCACGTTCTTACTTAAGTGTCGTGAAAATTTCAGTGGTTCCTCGTTTACAAGTAATAAGCAATTCTGACATAACAATTAGCGACGACCAGATATAACAATTGGCGATGCAGTCATAACAGTCGACCACCAGTCATTACATGATCAAACTATTATATATATATATAACATTTTAATGAAGACAGAAATCATATCTATAAATTATTCATCGTCTAATCAAAGTAAAACATTAATTTTGTTCTAAATATATACATTACTCAAATATTGTAGAAGAAATCCATGTTGTATCACTACTTAATAGTTTATTTCTGTGCATATTATAGTTTCACATAGGCTCACTCAGTTCCTTTTCCTCTGGAGCTTGGAGGAAACACTGGTAATTGAATAAAACACTCATTCTACTTGAGTAAGATGCAGTACGTGTTCCGTGACTAGGATACTCCAAAAATTACAATTAAAACATATCGATCATAATAATACTGGAGGGATATATCAACTGAAAACAACACTCGAATATAATTACCCAAGAATCTAATATTAATTGTAAACTGTTCATATAATATGTAGAATTAAATTTGCCATACTATATCACGAGGTTTACACGAATTTTCAATAGTACACAATTATCCGATTACAGAAATATATGACTTTGAAAAAGTCACTGTCTACTGGTAGACTATCACTTGGACTTGGTGCTTGAGTCTGATTGCTACATTAACCTGTTCAGGATATTCAGTGGTTTACAGTTCTATACATGTAAATGAAGGCTAATCAATTTCTAGTTTCTCAATCTGATGCAAATAACTTTTTCATGGGTATAGGTCATTCTTACTTTATCTTAGTTTCCCCGTATATAGTTGTCAGTTGTGTTACTCTGCTTTAGTGACTCCACAGTAATATTCACCCAATACCATACATAGAACAAAACTCAAGACCTTCGAACTATATACTAAGAACAATACTACAAATCAATAGTCTAGAATGAAGTTTTCATGACTCAATTTGTGGCATAACAGGTCTTATATTGAATAATGTAACTAACTAGCTGAGTATCTAATGATCCAGTGCTTATAACATGAATAAAAGATCTTAGGTTTCATTCAATATGGGATCATAGATGTACATTACTGAATAGTCCCATGACTTAAACAAAACATAATTTCACTGTTTCATATTTTCCACCGATACTTCATTTGTCTGACATAAAATGATCGTTAAATTAGAATTAATTTCTTAAAAATGGTAAAATCAACTCTTCAATGACTTTTTGCTTTAATACTTTTTAACTTCAGTAGAAATGATGTTGAATGTTTATTTTCATTGATATTTAAACTAATGTTCTAGTTAAATGGGAATGTTTGAAAATAATCTAATCATCAGGTAATATAAAAGTTTGAATAGAATGTAAGTTATAGTAAAAATTGAGTAACTACTCAGTATGTATAGTCGTGTACTTATGTAGAATGATAAAGTTAACTGGAGACAATTAATATTGTATTATATCATTATAAGTGTAATGATAGACTAGTAATTGAAATAGAAATGAAATGAGTTAAGTCTGACATTCATACTGGTCTGTAATATACTCTATTAAAAAGATATTTTACACTAACCATTATGATTAATGTTTAGTCGTGAAATTA